CAGTGGAGAAAACAAGTATCCGGAATGGAAATAGACATAGGCGGTGGTGAATGTCTAACAGCTTTATTTTTCGCAGATGATCAGGTAGTCGTAGCGAATGACGAGGAAGACATGGACTACATGTTTAGAAAACTAAAGAAAGAATATGAAAAATGGGGCCTCAATATGAATATGGCAAAGACAGAGTACCTTAAAATAGGAGATGGTGAAGAAGATCCAGAGTTAGAAATTAGAAACACAAAAACATGCAATGAATATAAATATCTCGGATCTATAATATCTAAAGAAGGCACTACCAAAAGAGACATCGAAAACAGAACACAGCAGGGAAAAAATGGTAAACATTCTAAACTCTCTACTTTGGTCTAAAGATATTAGACAAGAAACGAAATTGACAATCTATCGAACCTTGGTAGAGCCTATTATGACTTATGGGCTGAGGTTTGGCAGATAACGCAGAAGGATAGAAAAAGAATAGAAGTAGTAGAAATAGATTTTCTAAGGAGAGCGTGTGGTATATCCAAAAAAGATCACATCAGGAATGAAGATATTAGAAGGAGGACAAATACTGTATATTCCAGTGTAGATAGAATTGAAACGAGACAACTAGTGTGGTATGGTCACGTGAAACGAACGAATAAAGATAGATGGCCAAAGAAAGCTTTAAATTACATACCACAACAAAGAAGAAGAAGGGGAAGGCCTTCAGTTGCCTGGGAAGAAAATGTACGGCACATAATGAGAGATAGAGCCATCAGAGAAGACGAATGGATGGACAGAAAACTATGGCGGTCGAAATGCGAGAAACGGCAGAGGCTGTAGGAACCTCGCTTATATATATATATATATATATATATATATATATATATATATATATATATATATATATATTTGCGGCTCTAACTGTGTCTACAAAATCTTCATATGTTATTGATTTTGTCATAGAAATAGTGTGATTAATACTTTTACGAGGGTTTTTGATCTTTCCTAAACATTTAGAATAGTCTATTGCTTCAGGGTTCTATGGATAAAATTTACATACTTTAAAGCCAATAATTATGGAATCTGATTTTAATTGACTAGTGGCTGTGTTTAGCATAGCCAATTTGACCAATGCAAAATTGTCTTTGGTAATTGTCTTTGGTGGTTTTTGCACCTAAACTTTAATACTGCCCTGTTTCAATCTGCCTTCAATGGTTTAAATGCAGCAATATCTGCCGGTTGGATAATTTTGGTCGCATTGGGATGTAAGGCTACTAAAATAATTTGTAACTTTAAATGTAATTTACTGGTTTAAATGGTTAAGTAAGTTTAATGTTTATCAACGAAAAATATGACTGGAAAATTAGTGATTTTTGCAACTGGGTACTTATGTAAGACGTTTCCTATGTATTCATAGAAGTTTCCATTCTTTATCCATCCCGTATTTCTACATCCTGTGCCATATTCTCATAGAAAGAAATTTAAAATATTGCTAGGAATTCGTTTATAATGGTTAATAATTATTGGTGTTGTTATTTCTCTAGATGCTACAAAAGTAAACATAACCTTCAAATTAACTTTGGAGTGATGCTTTATTTGATGTACATTTTTGCTTCCCTTTACAGCCAACACTTGTTTACTTTTGCGACACAAGAGAAAGTAGGTTTCCTCGCCATTTAAAACACGTGAAGGTTCTTGAAGAATATCAATGTAACCTTTACGATGCAAGTATTCTTGAACACCGGTGAACCATTTTTTCACATCTTTTTCAGACACAACTGGGTGTCGCTATAAAACGGATCTATAACAACCTCTTTTAGGCTAATTTTCAGTAAAAGTATTGGCATGTAGATTTGCTTTAAGAAAACTTTTAACCAAGTCTTGTATATCTTCCACTCTTATTGGAAAACCTTTGTCTTGGTATGTTATGATCCAATGCTTTAAACGAATCTCTTCCTTTAAACAAAGAATAGGATTGGGACCAAGAGTAGTTTTTTCATTAAATTTTTCACTTGCTTTAAACTGCAACGTTGGTCTCGGCACAATAAATTTTGCAGCGGATTTTCGTTGGCTTATGCCATTTTCTATGGCCTGAAAAGCAGACTGAAGATCTTGTTCTGTATATTGTTTGTAATACGTTTGATCTTTCCGGATATTTGGCATTTTTAATTCTAAAAATAAAAATCATTTACTAGTTATAATGTTAACTATAATACGGACGTTTCAAATTTGATTCAATATGCCTACATTAGCACTAATTTTATAACAACTAAAACAATTGTAATTTTATAAATACGAATCTGGACAAAAAATATATATTTATTACATATAATATGAGCTGAGAGAGATGATAGCTAGACTAAATATACACCAATGTTGCCAAATTTAAATGCAAATAAATTTATTTCCTTACAGTTTCTGAAAATCTTAATACTTCGGATTTTTGTGAAAGTGGCCAATCACTAGTGACCGGCCCACGACTGTATCCGTTGGACCCATTACCCTACCCATTAGACTATATTATACTATCTCCCACCCTTTTTAATGTGTATTCTGAGAAAGTATTTGGAGAGGAGCTATTATTTTTAAAAGATCAAATAAGTAGAAAATAACAACAAAAATCAATGTACGATACTGTGATTCTAGCTGGAAAGATCAACGATCTGCAAAAATTAATAAGTAGAGTTAATATAGAATGCAGAAATTGGGGACTGTCGGTAAACATTTATATGACTAAATAAATAGTGACCAGCAAATACATGTAGGCTTAACCCAACTAGAATGGGTTGCCAGATTATCCACAATTTTTTCCATTCTTTAAAATCACAAATTTTAAAAATCCTCTATTAGTGAATCACGTATTGAATTTGAAACGGCTTCAAGACATTATGTATAACTTTACTTTTAAATTGATGTGAAACACGGACATTTAACGCTGATTTACTGAAAAAAAATCGACGTGTTTGATTCGATTCTGCTGCTTCTGTAAGTTAATAATGTCTCCATTGTAAATTTGGCTTATGTGAGATATCTATTTTTTAAATTGTATTTAGATTTTTATATTCATTAATTCTTTTCAGTAGGTTTTTTTCTTTCTATAAGGATTTTTCGAACAATTTTTTTGCGATCCATATAGTTCGTGTTCTTACTAGACTCTTTGTATGCGTCTTATCTTATAGTTAATGTAATTTTTATCTCTTTATATTGCTGATAATTTTTATCTTTCCCCTTCTTGTAAGTTGAGTCTCAAATATTGATATTAAATCATGGCTTTGATCTTTTTTTTGTTAAGTTGTTAATTTTTCCAACTAACCAATAAACTTCTTAACAAACACAGAATGGAAGTCTAAAGTTTGGGAATAACTAAAATTACTCAAAAAAGAGAATACAAAGATATAATGTAATTAAATATTGCATAGAAATTCGAAAACGACTTTACATGATGGAGAAGAAAGCTCTGAATAAAAACAAATTCCTGGGATGTGATTTAACAAAGAAAGAAGCCAAAGCGGAACAATACCAAGAATACAACCAAAAAAGTAAACTTATCAAAATAATGCCCTAGAGTGATGAAGAAAGTTACATAAAAAAACCGAGAACCACAACCAAAGAAATAAGTCAAGAGATCTATTCACGAAAATTAAGCAAATTGCTTCAGAACTCAAGTCACTGGCACTTGCGATTAAAGATAAACAGGGACAAATACTAACAAAGAAGACCAAGGTCCCTAACACATGGAAAGAATACTTTCAATCTCTATGAAATCTAAAGCTTAAAAATCTAAAGTAATAAAGAAGAATACATCTCAAATTATAGTCGCGAACACACATATGACAGGCATTCTATATATATATTATGTAATAAAGTCTGAAATTGGTTACATATTTTGTCGTATCAATTTACTAAAAAGTGTAAAAAATAAAGTGTTAAAACTGCAAAACATTAGTTATTGTCCTCATCCTTGAAATATATTAGTTCGTATAATTCACGACATACTCAATTACCTACTACATTTATCCAGAATTGCCTCAAGAAGAAGTAAGATTCATGCCTAGACGAGGCACACGAGTACAGATACCGAACAGACGACAACTTATAGGAGAGACAAGAGAATTCAACAAAGTAGGTATGACGTAGGGTTGTCTACGCTGATGACACCACCTTCTTATGTAACACGGAAGATTAGTTCAATATGCAATGAAGTGGGTTAGTAAATCAACATCTTAAAGACTAAGGTTAATCGTAATTAGTAGAGTAAAATAAAGATATTCTAGCCCTAGCAAATGTTGGTGATATTAAGATCGTAAAGGAGTTTTTATGCCTAGGTTTAAAATTCACCAATAAAGGTAATTGTGAGGAAAACAAAAAAGAAAAAGAATTGCTTTATGTAAGATACTCATATTTTTATTTTCATTTATTGAACATTGCCGTTGACGAATTTTCTATATTCTTTTTTGTTCTTTACCATTTGTTTTGATTTTTAAAAAGATTTTCCCTTATTTTGTAATATCTTTGCTATTTCGTTGTTTCACTCTTTAATAGGTATGCCTCTTTGGTTTTTCCTATTTGTTGAGATTTTCACACTTTTTTCACTTGGTAGCTACTGTCCATTAATGTTTCATGACAAAACCATGCTAAAATTTTTTGTTCCATTGTCTTATGTAATGGTCTAATTTTAAGTATGTTTCGTATTTCTTCATGTTTGAGTTTGACTGTCGTTCTTGCCTGTATCGTTTTACTAAACCATATTTCATTTCTGCTACTTATATTCTACTCTTGTGTCTTGTGTTAAAAATCCAGTTTTTTGTTTCGTATATAAAAGCTGGCCTGCATGTTGTTTCATATATTGTCATCTCCTTTTTCCTTCATATTTCTTTGTTACTAAGGTATATTGTTTAAAATAGTTTTTCTGTACTTTGTAGTTTGTTGTTGATATCGTACTCGATATGTTTTGGTATACAGATATATAGTTATGTATATATCGATATAATATATACTGATTTTAATTTTTGTTTCAGGTTGAAATGCTCTACCAAAGATATTTTCTTAAGATGAACCAAAGCAACATGACCAATCTGATTACTCTTCTCCTTATGATTTGTGTTGTAATGCTGGTAATCTCCCTAACAGACTTTGCCATGCCCCGTCAATTAGCTACAAATGAAACAGAAGTACAAGCGATACAGTATGATAAACTCTTAGTACTTGTTTGTACATCAGCGTGTTGTATAGCCATATACGGAAGTAAGTTTGAATATATAAATCTATAAATTTATTAGTTTTTTTGAGAATGAAACACCTTGTAACAATATTTTGTTTAGCATTTTGGTTTTTAAATTTCGTGTGCAAAAATATTATTACCTACTTGACAGAGAGTCTAATATGATTATTATATGACAGTTGATTGTCCTAAAAGTTAACTGTCACAAGTATTGCCTCAGTTGTATGACAGTGCATCAGGTGGATACTTTGGTATTACCAAAGCAAAATATGCAAAAGGTTCGAAAACGGTTCTATTGTGTAAACTGTCAAGATGATGTAAGAAGATGATGCCGGAAATTTGAACTATGTGTATCCAATAATGGCCCAGTTAATTAAAAGAGAGAACCCATGAAACAGTATAATGTTGGTAGTTCTATGGAAATATTAGCAATCAACTTTGCAAGTCCATTTGCAGAAGTGAATAATGAAAATAAATATATCCTGATAGCTATGCACTATTTTACAAAATAAACTAAGGCCTATGCCATACCAAATTAAGAAGCTACTACTGTTGCAGAGGTAATTGTTAAAGAGTTCTTCAGCAGATTTAGTGTTACCTTGCAGATCCGCTACGGACAAGGGCGAAACTTAAAGACAAACCTCTTCTAAAACGTTCATAAATTTATTGGTGAATAGTCGAAAACATGAACCAAATGATAAGTATAAACACCTGACATTAAACTTTGAAGAGATTGGGACCAGCACATTTATTTATTCCTAATGGCTTACCGCTCGGCCGTGAATGACACTACAGGCCAGACTCCAACTTGCCTGATATTGTGAAGATTGTTTGAATTGTGCCCAGAATATTACTGCAAAACTTCCGAAGAACATGTTGTAAGAGAAAAATATGCCGATCGTCTAGGAATAAGAATAAACATTCATCAATTTGTCCGACAACATATCCAGTTAGCTAGTGACAGAATAAAAGATTAATATGATTCTCGATGAAAAAGTGTAAGCTTTGTAGTTAATCTTACCTGGCTTTTTAATCCACAACGTCCTTGAGGCTTGTCTCCTAAACTGCAAAGATAATGGGAAGGTCCACATGAAATTAAAAAGTGAATAAATGACGTCATATGCCAAAATAAAAAGTTGTCAAAAGGTAAACCAAAAGTTATACATAATGTAATTAATTCAATTAAAATAGAAGAAGTACGAACCGTTCAATATGAGATAAAAGATGACTGATGACCATACTTTAAGAAATGTATGTCAAATTACAAAGAAAGGAAGAGTGATAGATTCGGAATGACCACAGAAGTTCAACAGGATCTTTTTAGTATTTTGGAAAACATCCCTCTAGCCCACTGTCCTGCTCAAGACCTCAAAAATACTAAAGAAATCTCGTCTGTACTCAAGAAGACGTTGGATCGCTCGGAGGAGTTGAAAAATTATCAGCCTAAAGTTGATGGTTCTCAGGTCCTCTATCTTTGCTGTGGATGGTCATCAATAAGTCTTATATAGACAGGGTAAGCTACAAGGACGTATGGTGTACTTTACCTAATTGAAAGAAAATCGTGTTCAAATATTACATCAAGAATTTGACCTTACCTTAAGTTAGGCTATGCACTAGGAAATCTGGATTGAAAGAAGTATGCTTAAAATGATCTTCCGAGAAACCGGCGTATAAATTACTGTGTGTTGAATTAACCCGAAAAGATCGTGTCCTTTAAAGACAGTAGACTCTTATTATTTCTTGAGGGGTTTGTGTAGAACTGATGAAAGTACTGATCAGATCTAAAAGGGGAGGTGTAACAAAATAGCATCGATGACTTAGATAATTCTAGCATAGCGTATTCTTTTTATAAATGTAGCGCTCTTATGAGTAAGATATTTCATAATATATTATCGTACAGTAAGTTTAAACATTGGTATAAAAATAAACAGTAAATATATTAAAAATATCAGTAAAGTATTAAATGATAGTATACTAGACAGAGTTAATCATGCAAGTGAAGGATTGGTACTGACAATAAATCTCTAAAAACTAAAGTAAAGGTAGTTAGCAAAACTGATGAAAATTGTCATGTTGACCTAAATAACATTTAATAAGAATAAACTAACAATTTCACATACTTAGTAGTAAACTAAAATTGATAAGTAAGATCCAGATATAGAATAGAACAGGCTGGGAACATATACAAGAAATGGAAACAAATTAAATATAATCGAAAACTAAGCTTAGACATCCAAATTAGAGTTATTAAATGCTGCTTTTGGTCAGTCTTTCTGTATGAAGATAAAGCCTGGACATTAAAATTAAATACCATGAGGCGACTAGAAGGCTTTGAAATGTGACTTTATTGCAGAATGCTCAGAATATCATGGACGGAACACTTTACGAATCAATCAGTACAATACCATAAATAGAGTGTTACAACTTATAACAACGGTTAAAAAATGAAAGAACTCATACCTAGGATACATAATAAGAAATAATGAATATAACCTGCTAATATTAATAATTTAAGAACTAGTACAGCCATGAACGTTCGATAATAAATTACAAAAAGTGGCGCGGAATATAAAACATTTTGATGTACTGATCGCAAATCTCTAGTAATGGTGCACCAGAAGAATAAAAAGACAAAAAATATATATTAGATATATTAAAACCGCTCGCTTTTTTAAATAAGTTGCAATAGGTAGAAGTCTGAAAAGCATTCGGCATTAGCGCAGAAAATTTATATAAGGGAGGAAAACATAAACTGCGACTATAGATCCAAAAGTAAATCCATTCGTCATCTGGTGGAGGAATATGAACTAGAAGCATGGACAGGGCAGGGCGTCTTATTTGATTCAACCTCCGTATGTCTTGGGTAAAAACATATATCCAATTTTAATAGATACTATAAAATTACGTACACTATATATATATATATATATATATATATATATATATATATATATATACATTATCGCCTCAAAGCAACAGTAGGATAGGATATGTAAAAAAAAAGACTTTTGTGATAATCATGTCAAATGATTCGAAATAAACCCTTCTGTTGAGTGTAACACTAGGATAAATAAAAAGTGATATACTTTTTTCGTAATCTTACACATCCTTGTATAGCTTAATTCCTTTTACCCCAAATTTTGTAATGCAACACTAAGACAACATACATATCATACCATTATATTTTGTCGTTTACCCATTTTGGTCATCAATATTAATGCAATACTAAGTTATCTTACGCACATATCCTACTGTTGCCATGTACTTATTGCTAAGTTGCGAGTATGTATTTGTTTATACTATCCAGCTTGCGGCCACAATTTTATCTTCAGTATTCTTAAACAATAGTTTTATTACATTGATGTTAAAAGATGTATGTTAAAGAGTAAAAACGAACGGGAATGCGGCAATTCCAAAATGTCAATTCGTTCACTCTTACGAACATGTCATATGACATGTTTGCCATGATCACATATTGTATTGCACAATATTTCTTTCCAAATCGTACCATTATTCGTATGCCTTCATCTATCGTTGACAATGTCCGTTTATTTGCGCTTACTAAATTTACCCTAGGTATTTTGTAAAATAAATTTGTAAAAATACCTTCTATTACCTTTCTGTTGACGATATTGCCGTTCCAGTGTCTATCATAATTTTAATTGGTTTCTCGTTGATAAATCCATCTACAAATTTTAAATTTATTCCATTTCTTTAATTATTATTTCCTGCAAGTTCTATAAATTCCTTTGGGGGTAACAAAAAATTCCTGTTTGATTTTGTGTTTCTAGTGAGCGCCTTTCTGAGGTGCAAAGCCTGTTGCTCTTTAGTGCTTTTTCTTTCGTTGCTTTGTCTTCCTTCCTCTTATTCTATCTGGATATTATTGATATCTCTTATGTTTTCTCTTGGTCTGTCGGATTTGTATCGGTTGTCGCGATACTCTCGTCCATTTCGTCCATTTCGTCCATTATTATTTCTGTTCTCGTGGTATGTGCACGTGGTGTTTCGATTCTGGTTTTCTCGACATATGTCCTTGTTCCGTTTCCGATTTCTTTGTTTCTAATTTCTTTGTCTTTTTTGTTTATTTTCGTTTTTTCTCCTGGGAATGAATTCTCTTTTGATACAGTCTCTCCTATAATTTTGTGCTCTATCTCTGTATTCTCATGTGTTTCTCTGGGTTTTTAATTTTCGTGCAATCTTTTGGCTTTATTTCTCTCAAGTACCATTCTCTTATTTGTAGGAATTGGCACAAGCCATCTATATCCCTGTCATTTTGTAGAGTGGTATGTGTTGCATTCAGTTCAACTAATTGTTGTAATAAATAATTATATTATAAATTCGTTCTATTATTAAACACTTGCGTATGTTTTTTCTGAGATACTCATCTTATAATTGTATCTTTGTAATTCTTTGTCGATTTCTAATTGCTAGATTCTTCCCCAGAAATACCTTAGGAGTATTTTTTATCTGTCTCCGAAACTTTCTTAATGTTTGTTCTCTGTAAACTGTTTTTCTATTTGTTTGATTCTTTTATAATATAATAATAATATCTCACGACATGACCAAAAAATATGACTACCATGAACAATCCTACACTCAGGAAAGTTGTATTTAAGTATGGTCTCACTGCCCTCTCCCTATAATGTGGTGGTATACCATCTTGCATAAAGCACATATTTAGCCTTAAGTTTGATGACAATTCTTCCAATAAAATAATAAAATCATTTTATAAAAAATGTTAATAAATTTCACAATTCAAATTACAAGGTAATTCGCATGTCCGTAAAAAATAATTACTGTATAAAATAATTTTAATTAATAATTAAAAATATATTTATAATTATGTTTAAAATGCATATCGTATAGTTTGGTAAAATTTGTAACTATTTTTTACGGACATGCGAATTACTCGTGTTTGATCCTTACGGAAATATCACAAGTCAGTGAGTTTGAATACGTTCAAAATAGCTAATATACAGAGAATAAACAGATTTATGGCCCTTATATGAGAAAAGGATATCAA